GTTGTTGTCTACCCCTGGTACTAAGCAAGAAACAGCACCTAATAAGGTGACTTGAATTTTGTAAAATGCATATTTTGTAAAATGCACAATTGAGAATATTGCTAGTTCCTCTCCATAACACTCCCTAAAAAAAAGGCTGTATTTGAATAAGGCCCCGAAGAAAAGTAAGCCATGTCTGAACTGCAAACACCAATAGCTCTCTTGATGCCTTTAGACCCTTATGCTCTGTAGGGAGTAGCCATAGGGTTAAGCCTCAGACTGACCTGTTGGCAAGTCCCAGCTTAGAGGGCACAGCCCTCTTAGCATAATTAGGCTTGACCTTATGACCCCCTAGATCTTATCTGGGAAGCTAATGGGCTGTGGGAGGTCCAGCAAGTGCTGCCAAAACAAGTGAAACCCACAAGAACATTGTAACTATGGTGACCACTACCTTGTTTACCACTGGCTCAGCTTGCTGTCTGGATCTATCTCTGTGGCCTTAGCCAGGCACAGGAGATCCACCTAGACCCAGCTTATTCTCTTTATCTTTTCTGCATCCTTCGATGGCCCCCCTCAGGCTCACCGAACCCTTGGCTGAGCTGGCCCGGTACAATGCTCCACACTCAGACATAATTCTCAAAGTGGGTGCTACTTGTACTAACAAAGATGGGAGCCCAATAGCTTATGACCAAAATAACCATGGTGACAGGGAGGGAGTTTATGCATAGATTTAACAACATGGACTTCCAGTCACCAAGGCAGACCTGGTGGCAGCAGAGTGCCTAATTTGCCAGCAGCAAAGACTAACACTGAGTCCCTGATATGGCACCATTCCCCCAGGTGATCAGCCAGCTATCCGGTGGCAGGTTGATTCCATTGGACCACTTCCATCATGGAAGGGGCAGCACATTATTCTTACTGAAATAGACAGTTACTCTGGATATGGATTTGCCTTCCCTGCACACAATGCTTCTGCCAAAACTGCCATCTGGGGCCTTATCCACTGATCAAGAAACTCACTTCACAGCAAATAAAGTGCAGCAATGGGTCGAAGCTCATGGAATTCACTTGTCTTACCATGTTCCCCACCATCCCGAAGCAGCTGGCTTGATAGAATGGTGGAATGGTCTTTTGAAGATTCAATTAGGCCTGCAGGACAAGATGGAGTTCCTGCAGATCCTGAAGCACGAACTGCAGAGGGTCAGTGGCCACAGCAGCCTCCGTGGCTATACACAAATTTTCTTCAGGGCAAATCCTGTTGGTACACTAGTGGGGGGAGACAAATATGGAAACAAATACTATGAAGACAACAGATTTTTGGCTCTTACCAATGGGCTATATATACAGTACTTCCTCACCCCTTATCCACAAGGATATGTTCCGAGACCCCCAGGGGATGCCTGAAACTACAGAGAGTGATGCAGCCAAAAGCCAAAGAACACCTTGAAGAGGCAAGGAAGGATGCTCCCCTAGCAGTGGTCGGCAAACTCATTAGTCAACAGAGCCAAATATCAACAGTACTTCTACAAAATAGACTCGCCCAGGCCGAAAACCGACCTGCGCATGGGCCACGAAGTTTCAATCGCACTGTACGTGCCCGCACTGTGGTATTTTGTGGAAAAGCCACCCTCAAGGGGCCAAAGAGCCGCATGTGGCTCACGAGCTGCAGTTTGCCGACCTCGGCCCTAGAGCCTTCAGAGGGACCATGGCTCTGCCAACACCTTGATTTCAGACTTATGGCCTCCAGAGATATGAGAGAATAAATTTTTTGTTGTTTAAATCCAAGTTTTTGGTCATTAGCTATGGCCGGCCTGGAAACTAACACAAATTTTATTGGGACATGAGGCACTACTGTAATAATTACCTAAGAATGTGCAAGTGATTTTGGCTTGGAATAATGTGTAGAATCTGGAAGAATTTTGAGGTGTGTGACACACAAAACCTAGATTGCCTGGAAGAGACTATTGGAAGAAATATGGACATTAAAGGCACTGCTGCCCTGGCTGGGTAGCTCAGTTAGTTAAAGAGTCGTCCCCATATGCCAAAGTTGCAGGTTCAATCCCCGGTCAGGGCACATACAACAATCAACCAATTAATGCATAAATAAGTGGAACAACAAATTGATATTTCTCTCCCCCTTCCTCTCTCTCTAAAATCAATAAATAGGTTTGGTTTGGTGTCAACCTATGAACCAAGAGGTCACGGTTTGATTGTACATGCCCAGGGTTGCAGGCTTGATCCCCAGTAGGGGGCGTGCAGAAGGAGATTGATGTTTCTATCTCCCTCTCCCTTCCTCTCTGAAATCAATAAAAACATATTTTTTAAATCAATAAATTAAAACATTTTAAAGGCATTGCTGCAGAGGGCTCAAAAGGAAATGAGAAAGAGTAGAGGAAGCATCTATCATCTTACAGAATAAGTGTATCATCACGAGCAGAATGTTAATAGAAATATGAACATAAAAGGTGCTTCTAAGGTGAGATTTCAGATGAAAATGAAGAACAAGTCACTGAAAACTGGAGAAAAGACTATCTTTGTTATATAGTGGCAGAAAACTTGATAGTATTGTGTTCTATGGTTGTGTGGAAAAATAGAACTTATAAGGAATGAACTTGGACATTTAGCTGAGAGATTTTCAAGCAAAGTATTAAGGGTATAGCCTGTTTTTGTCTTGCTGCTTATAGTGAAAGGTGAGACAAAAGAAACATATTGGCTAAGAAGCTATTAAGCAAAAAAAGGAACCAACACTTGATGATTTGGGATATTCTTGTCCTACCCATAGTGTAAAAAAAAATTAGAAAATTCACTGTTCAGAACTAGTGCTATGGAGAGAAAACCAAGAGTATATATAGCTAGATAATCTTTTCCTGAAGAGATGAGATATGTGATTCATGACCCACTGAACCATCTAGGAATAGAGATGGGATTATCCAGTAAAGATCTCTTGGCTGATGGGGCCTACACAGGAGAGCCACAAGCCTTTGGAGAATGTTGTATGTGCAGAAACACTGCAAGCTTGAACTGAAAGGGACAAATAAAGGACAAAAAGAGAAAAGGCTGTCAGGCTTCTAAAATATTACAGGTAGGAAACCATCTGATGGAACTACCTAGCTTTAAACATATGCTTGTAAAGAAAGGAAGAATGACTTCCAGGGAAGAGTCAGAGGGTGGAGATGCAGGCTCAGAGGTAGAGAGAGGCCAATGGAGCAGTAGGTGGTACAGGGGTTGAAAATGGTGCCACAGGTCCAAAACATGGAGCCACCTCAGCCCCACGGGGCAGAGAATTAAGCCACAAAGAATTATTTTCAGGCCTTGTGTACGGATGTTGCTGTGAACAAAACTAACTCCATTTTTGTGTTCCTCATTTCTATTCAAGTTTTTCATGCTATGAACTCTGACCAACCTCACTGTTCTTAACCAGCACACCAAAGCTTTATAGTTAATGATTGTCTGTGTTTCTTAAACCTACACAATGTAGCTGTAAAGATTCTTGTCAGTAGTGGCCAGAATGGCATGGCAACCAAGATAAATATCAACTCTAAACACTCATCTATTGCAAGGCCACCAGGAGGTATGGCTCCTGGCACATACTGCATTATTTTCCCTTTTTCTTGGCAATCATTCATACCTAAGCTATACTATACTAGTAAAAAAGGTAATGGAACAGCAGTCTGATAGCAAAGAATATCTGCACAGACTAAGTCACCTGCCTGCTCCAATCATATCCCTGTAAGGAACTTATAAATTCCATTATCATCTATAGAGTTGCCTGCATCATTTTTTGGTCTCAATAAATCCTTTCACCTGGCCGGTGTGGCTTAGCGGTTGAGCATATCGACCCATGAACCAAAAGGTTGCAGGTTCGATTCCTGCTCAGGGCATATGCCCGGGTTGCAAGCTCAATCCCCAGTGGGGGCCATGTAGGAGGCAGCCAATCGATGATGTTCCTCTCTCATCAATGTTCCTGGTCCACCATTGTACCTTGGAAACAACTTGTTTTTTAATTTCACAGATTCACAGATGGAAAGTTTGTCCCAGGATGGATCATACCCAGTCTCATCCCATCCATACTTGACTTAGATAGTTTAAATAATAAGATCTAGGGCTTTTTGAGCTGATGAGACTTAGATGAGATTTTGGACTTAGAGTTGATGCTATAATGAGTTAAGACTTTTGGGGCTGTTGAGATGTGGTGAATTTATTTTGTACGTGGGACGAACATGAATTTGGAGACCAGAAAATGGACTATAATGGGTTGAATGGTGGACCCCCCCAAAATATGTCCATATGCTAACACCTGGACTCTGTGAATGTTACCTTATTTGGGAAAAGGATCTTTGCATATGCAGTTAAGGATCTTGAGTTGAGATCATAGTGAATTACCTGGGTGGACCCTAAATCCAATGACAAGTGTCCTTATAACAGACAGCAGAGGAGAGGGGAGTGATGCTGTGGTTCCTGGGCACCATTCAGGTCGCCATCACCTTGGCCAAGAGGAGCAGCATGGTCTTCACGGTGTTCGCGGCAGGTGATGATGAGCAATCTACACAGATGGCTGCAAGTTGGGAAGATGACAAAGTGACAGAAGCATCCTCAAACAGTTCTGTTGCTGTTAAAATCAATACCAAAAGATGCACTCACTAAAAGTTGAAACATCAGCTGCAAGTGGGAACCAGTCAGGAAGTTTAGTCTGTTTTCATCCCTCATTTGAACCCTGTAACACTTCTAAAAACTCTCCATCCAGCCCTAACCGGTTTGGCTCAGTGGACAGAGCATTGGTCTGTGGACTGAAGGGTCCCCGGTTCGATTCCGGTCAAGGGCATGTACCTTGGTTGCGGGCACATACCCAGTAGGGGGCGTGCAGGAGGCAGCTGATCGATGTTTCTCTCTCATCAATGTTTCTAACTCTCTATCCTTCTCCCTTCCTCTCTGTAAAAAAATCAATAAGATATATTTTTAAAAATTAAAAAATAAAAACTCTTCATCCAGATTTTGTGATACACCGCTCTTTTTTTTTTTTAATATGTCAGTAGTGGAACGATCCACCCTTTTTACTTACAAAGTGTGAACAGAAAGCTACTATATTTCTCTAGGACATTTACAAAGAGTTTTCTTCACCTTAATATACCTCTCTTAATACAGTCATGTGTATAAACAGTTAGAGGAAGTTCAGGACCTATCACTCCCTCTCAGAAGCCTAGTCAATGTTCAAATAAGAGATCTACCCAGAACCTCACTGTCAATAAAAATATTTTTTAAAAAGGACAAGACGAACAACGTAGCAAGACAGAAAACTTTTAAATAAATAAACAAATAAGCCAGTCCCAAAAAGATGACATACGGTATGATTGCACTTGTATAACATTTTTTTTAAATTGATTTCAGAGAAAGGAAGTGAGAGGAAGAGAGATATAGAAACATCAATGATGAGAGTGAATCATTGGTCAACTGCCTCCTCCACGCTCCACACTGGGGATTGAGCGGGCAACCCAGGCATGTGCCCTGAATAGGAATCAAACCGTGACCTCCTGGTTCATAGGTTGACACTCAACCACTGAGCCACACCGCCAGGCTAACATTCTAGAAATGACAAAATTGTAGAGCTGGAGCACAGATTGGTGGTTGCCAGGGGTTAAGAAAGGAGTGGGAAAGAAGGGAAGTGGTTGTGGTCATTAAAGGACAACATGAGGGATCCTTCTAGTGATGGAAATGTTCTGTATGTCAATATACTGATTGTGATATTGTATCAAGGTTCTGCACAGTGTGACCATTGGGGGAAACTGGGGCAACAGTACATTACATTTGAATCCACAATGATCTCAAAATTAAAATTTACCTAAAAAAAATAGAAAATAAGGAACAGTAGGCTCCTCCTCTGTACCTTAAATGACCTGTCAGGTTGTCCCGGAACCAAGGCAGAGAACCTCTGGAGTAATGTCTCATTAGCTGGCATGTTCACCCTGGGTCTCAGCCCACCTTCCAAAGCTAGATGGGTGCTGTATGTGGGCTGCAGTCAGAATGAATGGAAGATCCTGCCACCTCCAGGAAGGAGAAAGCTCAACAGAGACACCGAGGACTCCTAAAAGGATAGTATCCATGTTATCTGTGTCATTCCCCATTTACCCCACAAAGTTCAGCAAACCCACACTGAGGCTTAGTCAGGGTGGATTATTTAAACAATCATGAGTGTTGGAGTCAAATTAATGAGCTCAGAGTCTCTTATTCTTGGTTGGCTCCACAGGCGGCTTCACACCATACCCAGCCAGCCCATCCCTTAATTCCAGGTTCAAGGCGGATCTGGGGTTGGGGGAGGGCAGAACTGGAGCACTGAATGGTGCTGAAGCCTCGTGGAGAGGGTGGGGGAAGGACTTGTCCATAGGGACCTGGTGGGTGACTGTAGAGACAGGAATTCTGGAAACCTGGTCATCTGAATGAATGACACTCTTCTGCCATCGTGAATGATTTTGCCATTTTAGGATGAAAATCCTTAAAATTCTTATATAGCAATCTCTTAGCCTCTTCTTCCCACATGAAAATGATTCAACATTAATATTATTATTTATTAAACCGACAAATTGGGGATGGGGGAAACATGCTACTATTAACTTACAGGGGGGAAAAAAGCCTTTGGCACAAGTCAGCAATCATTACTAATAAAAAAATAAAATTAGGGAAGAAATAAATTACTTACATTTCACAAAAATCATTTACAAAACATAATCATGGAATACTATGCTAAAAAATAAAATGGTGAAGCTATTGCCGTTAAAATTAGCAATAGGATAGGGATATCTGGTACAATTCAAAATTGTTTTTCTGCCTTTGGCTCACACAATAGAAGATGAAACAATCAGAATAAATACTGCAAAGAAATGAAAATGTAGCGTTCTTTGCCAAAGATATGATTTTATACATAGAAACCCTACCAGACTCTATTAGAATTCATTGGGCCCTAACTGGTTTGGCTCAATGGATAGAGCGTTGGCCTGTGGACTCAAGGGTCCCAGGTTCGATTCCGGTCAAGGCATGTACCCTTGGTTGTGGCACATCCCCAGTGGGGAGTGTGCAGGAGGCAGCTGATCATGTTCTCTTCTCATCGATGTTTCTACTCTCTATCCCTCTCCTCCTCTCGTAAGAAATCAATAAAATATATCTATATATAAAAAAAGAATTCATTGGGTAATTTCATAAGGGGCTAGATACAAAATAAAATTATAAGATGGTTTTTCCTCTACAACAACAATGATAAAATGAAAATGGGAAAAACCCATTAGTAATGATAGCAAGAAATATATGAAACAAACTTTTAAAGAAATGGTACCTACAAAATTTTTAAAAGTTTAAAAAAACTGACAAATATGAAAGTTACATAGACATACCATATCCCTAGATGAGAAGATGTAATAGAAATTTCAACCCTTTCCAAAGCATTATACTGAAGTAATGCAAAGAATTAAAGAAGAAAAATTAAACACAAAGCTCCATAATAAGATGGTGCATATAAAATTTTAGGTAAAGAGACTCTTAAAGGGAAATGCATGTTCTTAAATGTTTTTTCACAAAGAAAGACTGAATATTAATAAACTAATGTGTAATTTAAGAAGTTGATAAAGAGAAAATAGTACAGGTTCCAGCAGAAATTAAGGAAATAGATATATTAGAGAGGGTCAACAAGGCCAAAAGTTGGTTCTTTGGCAAGACTAATAAAATTAGCAAACTTCTGGGGAGACTTATGGAAGAACAAATCTAAACAGACACACTATTTATTATTATTAAGACTTGGCAACAAGACACAGCAAGGAGTCTAAAAACTAACAACCCCAGAAACCCCCATCCCTGTCCCGCGTAGACTCCCATTTACTAGAGTCTTTAATTCCCCACCAACAGACCCCACTGACAGTGTATCATTCCCAAAAGCCAACAAAAGCCACCACCTCAAAATCACCTCAGTGTCAAGTCACAAACCCTCGTGCACTCGCGTTAGCGCCGCGCGCCACCAACACTTAACGGCCTCTGAGGGACACTGTTGTTTCCTATCATCACCCCTGCCACTGCCCCTTGTGGGGCTGTCGGTTTTGCACACGATCTTTTTTTTTTTTAATCTTTAATTTCTTTATTGGTTAAGGTATTACGTATGTGTCCTCATCCCCCCATTAACCGCCAACCTCACCCCCCCACTCATGCCCTCAGCCCCCTGGTGTCTGTGTCCATTCGTTAGGCTTATATGTATGCATACAAGTCCTTTGGTTAATCTCTCCCCCTTACCCCCATGCACACGATCTTAAGGGCTGTGGGGCTGTGGTCTACTCACTCTGAACCAGGTGCAGTTGTGGATCCGCCCAGACTTTGTCCGTGAGTGACGTTGTAGGGCGAGGAACATGGCTGCGCCCAGGCGTCGGTCCATGAGGGACGCCATGGGAGAGTCTATTCCGTACAATGGGCTGTTCCACAGGAGGTGGGGGCGGGGGGCGCTGTTCATGGATAGAAACCTTCTGAGTGTGAGTTTCCGTGAGCAACTGATCTTGGGAGCTGGGTTCTAAAGGTCTGTGCAAAGTTTACAGAAGTAGAGGTGGCAGTCTCCCATCCCTGGGGGGAGGGAGATGTTTCCAGATGTTCAAAGGAGATACCACTGGGGGAGGGGTGAAGTCCTGGTCACAGTTTCTTCCTGGGAGATGTCACTAGGAGGAAAGGAGAAGTTAGGATGGTACAGTCCCCCTCCTGGCTGATACCACTGGGCAAGAGAGGGAGGAAGTCAGGGTGGTACAATCCTCACCTTGGAGATACCACCAGTAAAAGGAGGAAAAGTCAGACTAAAGCAAGTCCCCTCCTGGGCGATACCACAGGAGAAGAGGGGTGAGGAGTGTCAGGGTGGTACAGTCTCTTCTTGATGTGGGTAGGGGATGCAGGGAGGGGGAGGAATTAGTATGGAGGAGACTTGAATCCCCCTCAGACTCCATTCCCTCCATTAACCCACTAGAATAGTACCTAGGAGCCCTAGCTGGTTTGGCTCAATAGATAGAGCCGAGGACTGAAGGGTCCCAGGTTCGATTCTAGCCAAGGGCACATGCCCTGGTTCTGGGCTTGATCCCCAGTAGGGGGCGTGCCGGAGGCAGCTGATCAATGATTCTCTCTCATCATGGATGTTTCTCTCTCTCCCTCTCCCTTCCTCTCTGAAATCAATAATAATATATTTTTTTAAATAGTAGCTAGGAAAATAATTATAATACTAACCTTCAATATGGACAACTAACGTTTTTCAGAAAATTGTCGATAGAAAAATATTTAGAAAAACATTATAAGCATATTTTTTATGAAAATGCATCTCCAAGCTGTACCCCTGACTTATGCTTATGTTGTCAATCAGGCTGCAGCCGTTTACGCTCTCTTGTATGGAAATTCAGGAGATGCTACTGAGTCTTGAGAAAGAAGAGAGATTCTGGGTGTTCTTCACTTCTGAACTACCCATTCTTCAAAACCTAGTCTAAGTATATCCTCCAGCAGGAAGCCTTTTCTGACAAGAGGTAGAGAGGGTTTTTCCCCTGCTGAAGGCATTTCAGACCCAACAGGCCCTGGCTAAACTTGGGTATGGGTTGCTGGGTACCCTACAGACATTCAGATCTCTCTGGGCCTCAGCTCAGCAATCAGGAGTGTTAGGCTGACAGCCTCTCAGAGTATCCCATTTTCTCTGTCTCCCCTGCAGCATTTGTGAATTGAATGGGAGACAGAATGGCAACTGTGAGAACATTGCTGTAACACACAGACTTGTACGAAAATTACCAAAATTTATTGTGTGACTTCTGGTCAACATCTCAAATCCTGGACTCTGTTAACGTCCATCACCAATGCTTCCTTGGCTGATCTCACGCCCGGGCCTTTTCTTTTTAAGTCTACAACATCTATGTTGCACTCTTCTGATCTGGATGCATGTCCTCTATTAATGATTCCATTATCAATGTCCCTGGATTTTGACCCTAAATACAAACTATTGCTAACTTTTCCACCATATGTGCCCTTTATAGATTGAGAGACTAGGCATATGTTAATCTTCCATTATCAATATCTATCTGGTCTAGATTTCAACTATTAGACCATGGTTAACTTTTCTTTTTAATTTTAGAGAGAGGAAGAGAGGGGGAGAGAGAAAGA